TCCCCCCCCCTCCAAGTTGCCCTGGGCAACTGGTATCTTCACCCAGGAAACAACTTTGGCCTCTGGCAAGTGGGGAGAACAGCCAGACCCCTCTTCCTGCTCCCAGACCAGGCCAGTTTCCATCCCCTGCCTTCAGGAGCTGCTGCCCTTTCCTCAACTGGGGTCGTGACTCCTGTGGGGGTTTGAGGGGGATAGGAAACCTGTGACCTGATGGAAGAAGGGACAGGAGGGAAGAGGCTTAGCTAGACCTCCTTACCACATCCCTTAGAAGTAAATGTGAAAATTTAGGAGAAGTCTACTGAAGCTAGGGAAAGGGACGTGCGGCCCTGGAAAGGTGTGGGTGTGTTGTGAGGTGGCGTGGGGCGGGGTGTTGACAGTGAGCTAGATTACAGAGGTGCCGGCCGCTTCAAACCCAAAGATGTGAGGGCAGGGGCAGGGGCTGGCCCCTAGCTGGAAACTCCTGGAACTGAAGGACCAGTCTTGGGGAAAAGGGTGACAGGGAGAGTTTGTGGGGCATGACGACCACTCCCACATTAAAACCCTCAGAATCCAGCAGCCTTCACCGAGAAAGCGCCCTAGCTGGGGACAATAGAGGCTAATTTGCATCTCATTTACATGCTCTTCATTTCTAGGCAAAATGCTCCGATAGCAAACATCCCCAGCCCCTTCCTTCTTCCCTAAGAGAGCAGGTCCTGCCTCCCTCCTGCCCAGTGTCTCTGCGCCCCACCCCCTGCCTTGGACTGGATTAGTCCAGCCTCTGAAAACACTTGGTTGGCCTTCGCATTGGCCCCCTAGACTTGTATGATATGTCTTTAAGAAGGCTTCCCACATTGGTTTTTGGAGGAGCAGCATCTGAGCAGTTCCCATCCCACCCGGGGCCTGGGGAAAGGCATCATACCCCCCATCTGAAGCAAATGGGGGAGGCCTGGCCAAACCTTTCTTCCCCTCCTAGGTCTTCTATTTGCTGGGAGAGAAAACAGCCCTTCTCTCTCCTCCTGGCCCTACGGCCACCTCTGGGGAGTGGCCAGGGTCATAGCCAGAGTCACAACCAGAGTCAAGGCGGGTGGAGGGGGAGGCTGGGGAAGGGATGGAGAAGGGGAGACCGGGCTGGGGACAATAGCAGGAAGCTCTCAGGCTGGTCTCCCGCCCCAGTCCACCTTCCTCTGGGGGAGCAGACAGGAGGTAGAGGGGGTGGGGGGCGCGGTGAGGATCCTCGAGAAACAGGCTGAAGGCGCATTCCCTTCTCCAAGACATTTCTCCCACCCTCTGCCCCTGGTTCCGCACCTACTCTCCCTTCCACCCAACCCCCAACGAGGATAATCCAGGTGTTTAGAGCCTGGCATAAGATGGGCCCGGGGCCAGGGGCTCGACGTGTCTCCCCCTCACTGGATCTGGGGCTCCGAGAGGGGCGGGCAGCAGAGTCTGGGCCGGGACCGGGTCCCAGAGCCACGTTAGCGGGAGGAGGGGCTGGAGGGGCCTGCAGGCGCAGAGTGAGGATGAGAGCGGGGGTTGGGGAGCGGAGGCGGGTCTCCCAGGCCAGAGAAACAGGGCCAGAGGCTGGGAACCAAAGAGGGCAGGCCTGCGGCCGGCGCTGAGCGGGGTCCGCGGGCTAAAGGTTCAGTCTCCAGCTAGGCTCTCCTCCTTGGGAGACCCTGGTCTAACAAAAACCCGGGGCGAGTAGGGTGAAGAAAGGAGAAGGGCGCGGGGACTGTTGTTTCTCGGGGGCCCCCTTCCCCGACTCTCTGCCCCAGCCAACCTCCTGAGAGGTGCTCAGACTCCCGCTTGCACCAGGACAGAGGTGCAACCGTGACACCAAAGTCCGGAACGACGCGTCCCCCTTCCTATCCCTGCAGAGACATCGAGAGGAGGGTCCAGTTCTCCGCGGGTTTCGGAGCCTTAGTTTCCCTGCCCGGGAGTCAAGGCACCAGGGTTTCCACCCTCTGCACGGTGCGCGCCTCAGATAATCCCCTTTCGCGCTCCCCAATCCAGGGGACGCGACTCAGAGAAGCCCGGTGGGAAGAGGAGCCCAGACGCTGCGCCCAACAGTGCACTGACGGGGCTCGGCCACGGTCCCCTCCTCCCTCCAAGCACGCCAACTCCGCTGACCCTCTCCACCAGCCAGGCACACAGCGCGCTGGCACCCTCCCGGTTCCCTCTCGCACTTCGGAACGTTGTCCCCAGCTGCGGCGTCCCCCGTCCTCCTGGCCTCCCCTGCAGCCCCATCTCCCCAAGCTCCGGGGTACTTGCTCCGAGATCCGGGTCAGCGGGACCGAGATCGCAGCGGGCGGGCAGCAGCCCCGCACCACGCCGAGTTCGCAATCCGTGATTGGGGCTCTGGCGAGATGTGGTGAGCGTCCGAATGGGATGGAGCCCGGATCTGAGCTCCCGGCCGCTGTCGGGTCTGGCAAGCCGCGGGTCCCAGTCGCAGCCCCCACTCCCGCCGCGGCTCCGTGCAGGAAAACAATGCGACCGCCCGGGGCTTTGGGCCGGGCCCCAGCCGCCCCGCCCGCCTCCCGGCCGGCTCCGCCTCCCGCCCGCCTCTGGGTCGCCGCAACCAATCTGGCTCTCGGAAGCTGGCTGGACACCGCCTTCTCGACACCTCTTCACCAATAGTCCTCCTTGGGGGCGGGGCGTAAGGAGCACCGCCCACCGAGAGGGCCAGGTCGGGAGGCTGAGCCAGAGACCAAAGCCAGGCGCGAGATGGAGAAACCAGCGGACCATCGCCGAGACTCGTACGGAGGAGGGGGTCTCACGGAGAGGTCCTGGGAGAAATCTTACAAGAGAGGAAGGAAGCGAAGCTGGAAGGAGAGACCGACGGGAAACCCGGAGACTCGGCTGGGCTGGACTGTCTGAACCGCGCGACTCAA